GAATGATTTGGGACTACATTGAAATAATTTGATTTGCATAAATATAGAATTATTATGACTTACCTCCTTCTAATGAATAAAATTCAAGCATTGTTGGTAACCCTTTGCCAGCAGAAGTGGCAGCACTTACAACAGCAGTATAACGTGTGTATGGATCTATAGAAATATGGTATTTATAGCAATACGTGTCAAAAGATGCACTTACTTAAATTATGAACATTAATGCCATATACTGAAGAGTTATGAGTCTCATTGTATAATCCCATAACAGATACTTCATAGAATAAGATTATTCCATTCTGTTCTTGAGGTAGTGACCATGATATAAGGACAGAGGTCTCTGAGATTGATTCTGTTACTAACTGTGAGACTGGTCCAGGCTCTACAATAATGAATGTTGTATTAATAAATGATATAAGGCAATAGTAGTATGAATGACCATCTATAAGCAGAAAACCTGAAAAGACATTTTGCATGTTGAATAAATAATGTTTACTGCTCAACAGTGTGCTAATATTAAATTGTAGTATGGTGCATGGGCAAATAAAAGGTGCCACCTTTGCTACAACTTCTATAATGAATCATTCAACTTGATTAAAAATGTATTATATTGAGTTCTGTCCTATGGAACTATAACAGAATATTCTAAAGTTATATCACATTAGTGTATGAGTGTAATTCAGTAGCTCCTCATTCAATCAAAAATCATTCCATTTATGAATCAAGATGGTATAATTTTTAAACTTAAAGATGTACACACTTTTAACTTACTTCCTTCTAATGAATAAAATTCAAGAGTAATTGGCTGTCCCTTACCAGCAGAAGTAGCAGCACTCACCACTGCAGTATAACTTGTGTATGGATCTACAAAAACATGTTAGCATTTGATAGCTACTATTTCTTTTACTTAAGTCATCAATTTCGATTTCATGTACTGAAGAGTTGCGAGTCTCATTGTATAATCCCATAACAGACACCTCATAGAATAAGATTATTCCATTCTGTTCTTGAGGTAGTAACCATGATATAAGGACAGAGGTCTCTGAGATTGACTCTACTGCTAGACGTGACACTGGCCCAGGCTCTGTAATACATAGTAATTCATAATTCTATTTGCATGAAAGTACTACATATGCTGGGCATGGTATTCTTGCTATTTCCTTTTCATAATCAATTGAAAAATAATTAGCGTCAGATCATTACATGGCTGGTGGCTACTATGGTATTTTTGACATTAGCTTATAGTAATCAACCAATCATAAAGTTAATTGGTGTAATCCCCCTATACTAGATAGCATCAATAACATATACATGCATGCAACTATTAATGATTATGCTTACCTGCTTGATCAGTCAGTACAGCAATTGGTGCAATTTCTGTTGTTTCTCCATTATCACTGTGAGCCACTATACTAGCATAGACTTGTTGATATGGTAATAGCTCATTCACTTGGTACTGGTTAATGTCACCAGAGACATTAACTGTAGCAATTATTCCATTTGTGTAGTCTAGTGTCAGTACATAGTGGGCTATATTTCCTAGTCTAGGATTAACTGGTGGTGACCATTCAAATAAGATCATTGATTTACTGGTGCTTGTTACATTAAAAGTTATTGATGGTTTCACAATAGCAGTAAAGTTTAACATCAATGATTTATTGGAGCATTCATCAACTATCAACAGAGACCATGGCAATATCTGATCTACAGCTAAAGTCTCTGGAACTATGAATGATACTTGTATTTCTGTTTCTTGACGCATTGGTTCAATAGTAAATAGAGTATCATCCATATCCACAGATACTTCAGATTGTATGACAACAGACACAGAAGCTTCAAGTGACTTAGGACCACTCTTGATGTTTGATATGGCAATATAAACTAATGAAGTCCCTCCTGGATTGAGAACAATGGGAGACTTTTCTTTAAGTTCAGCTTCTATTGATGGAGTATCAAAATTGACAAATGAGTCTGG